AAGTACATGCAGTCTATTTGCATATATTTTTCACTTATCACAAATTGATTGCTTTTGTACTTTCCAGCACCCTACAATTCAGCCTACGTTGTCATAGACTCCAGTGCACCTGGCTCCAACTTAATGTTGTCTTTTTCTCCCATTGCCCCTCCCCCTTCTTTCCATTTGCTCCATGCATCGCATCACTCTATGCAGAAACACTCCATATATTTTCAGACCTCTCTTTCTCTGCCACTCTTGTATTCTCCACCTGGCATGCGTTTTGTTCCCTTCCAGGCCTAGGCTTCACATCCCCCTGTGTTGAGCTTCCTGAAATCCTCATTGGCTATCCTTTAAGTCTGACTTTACATCCCAGCTCTTCCCTGAATCCTTCCCAGATCCTAAAGTCAAAAGTAATTCCTTCAGTCTTCTCCCGCAATGCTTTCTCCTCTTAGGGTGCAGGTAGTTTCCTTGTATCTTATTTAATACTTTATTTTGACTCTCCACCAGATGTTAAATTCCTTGAAGCAGATTGTATTCCTTCAGCTGGCAAATAGCAGGCACCTGGAAAATGTTTGTTAACAGGAATGAAACACACACTAACGGAATATTATGATATATTTACTAATTGAATCCCAATGAATGAGTGGTCTAGACACGAGTTGTCTTCAAAAGGTTCATGGAGAGATTTGCGTTATCTTTCAATTCTATTTTTCCGCGAACTTTTCAAAGTACTGTTTCCTTGAAGCAGATTGTATTCCTTCAGCTGGCAAATAGCAGGCACCTGGAAAATGTTTGTTAACCGGAATGAAACACACACTAACGGAATATTATGATATATTTACTAATTGAATCCCAATGAATGGGTGGTCTAGACACGAGCTGTCTTCAAAAGTTTCATGGAGAGATTTGCGTTATCTTTCAATTCTATTTTTCCGCGAACTTTTCAAAGTACTGTTGTATAGTTGTTGATGACAAGCACCTTGTTTTTAGATATCTATCCCTTTGCCCCAAAGACCCCAGCTCAACAGGAGTATACAGTAGGTGTTCAATGCATACTTGGTGTTTTGGACTGGTGAGAGAGCCTGTCAATGTTAGCATTAACATTTCAACACCCTTTCTGAGCTTCTGCTCCAAGGGACATGACACATTCTTTATATCTGGGCACATCCAGCTGGCACGTTATGCTACTGCAGCATCCAGATTGGCTGCAATGAGAGAACCAGGGCTTCAGGATGCCTCTAACACATTAGTTGTGCTCTCCTAGCCTGTGATCGCCTCATTCCAGCTTGCTACACCCAATATCAGCTTGCAAGTCTTGCTGGTGGCCACAGTTGTGCTGTGTTGAGTGCCCCTCTGAGCCCAGATGCTTGGCATTATCCCAAGACTTTGTTGCTGGCAAGGTGGAGTCTCTGTTTAACCTGTAGGAAGCTTTGCAAGGGATGCTAAGCTAAATGCTCAAGGAGGCAGTGGGGTATAGACTGAGCAGATTCAGGCTTCACAAGTGACCCATGCTTTACATTGTTGCTTTACAGATCATGAGTCTGAGCTGGGCTTTGACACCATGGTGACACCACACTGTCAGTGCCTACCTCCCTTAAATCATGCAGTCTTCCTGATTTGGCACTCAAGTTCCTTATAGATTAACAGATCAATGAACAGTGTGTGGTTCAAGCAGTTGCATTAGGTAACAGCTTTCAGCTCTGTTTTGCCAGTGCATTTCTTTGGTTTCTCTTGATGTATGTTGGACTAGAATTTTTCTCAATACATGACTTTCTGTCAACCCATATGTGTGCAATATAATTGAATAATTTCCTTTTAGATTTTTAAGTAGTAGATATATTAGATTATCTAATAAAGTTAAATTAAGAAATACATGTAAATCTTAAAAAGGTGATTTACACAAGCCATACAGGAAAACCTACCTCAGTGTTAAGAGTTTTACCCCTTATCTCTAAAAGTCAAAGGAAGAAAGAAGGGCACCCACATTCACCAAGCAGGCACTTTATATATAGCATCTCATTAATTACAGCAATCACATGGGGTGGAGGGGCGGGGGTGTTACATTCATTTTAAAGATAACAAACCAAATCTCAGAAATTAAAAAAAAAATAAAATCGCGTCTCACTCAGATGGCAAGAGAAGTCTATACACAAACCTTGGGTTGTCTGCCTCCACACTTGTCACTGCCTCTCCTTAATGACTGCAAAGTGTACTTGTTAGACGAGGGTGTCTATACGTACATTTCCCAGAAGATTATTTTCCATTACTGATTGTTGATCGATCCTCTAACACACCGTGGACCTCAGGGCCTCTGTGGTTTGGGAGATGCTGTTTTCTGTGCCTGAAATATCAACCCTGTTTGTTTCCCTTATGAATGACTCCCCATTATCTGGCTCTTATGTGACCTTTTCTTTGAAGCATCATTTTAACTATACCCCATTTTTGTCCTTTACAATTTTATCTTGGATTTTAAAAAACTAAGAGAAATCCACAGACATCTTATGTAGCAAAATAATACAAAGATTTATAGAGAGTCATCTGTTTCCCACCCCTTTTCCATTTCAGTCCCTTTCTGAAGTATCACATTTTTTAAAAATAATTTCAGACTTAAAAAATATAGAGAATGACTGTATATTCTTTATGCAGATTCATGAATTTTTAACATTTAGCCACATTTGTTTTATTATTTTTCCTCTCTTTCTCTCTTGATATATAAAAATATTATTTCTTAAAGCATTTGAAAGTAGGTTGAATAATTCATTTCTCTTTACACGTTAATGATTTAGTTGTATATTTTCTAAAACTGAGAGCACTAGTCATAACTTCTCTTTAGTCTCCTTTAGTTTGAAACAGTTGCCAGTCTTCCTTATCCTTCTACAATATAATTTATAGATATTAACATTAGAATGTAGATAATATAAAATGTTACTAATATATTTATTATATTGCAATATATAATGTTCTTTAATATACATTATACTATATAATTATAATATATAATATATGTTATTTAATCTATAACATATAATTTATAGGTATAGCACATTAAAATTTTATAATACATAAATAGAAATAATATAAATATATGCTATATAATATATTTAAATATATTATAATGAGTTGTAATATAATTAGAAATCATGATCTACTATAAAGCAGAATAAATTAAAATGTAATAAAACTTTAGTGTTATAAAATATTAATATAAAACTACGTTTTATAATTTATTAGTATAACATTTATTTATATATTTTTATAGAATGTTCCTCATCTTGAGTTTGTCTGCTATTTTCTCATGATTATATTCTGTATAAATATATACTGTATAAATGACGTGTCCTTCTCGGGGATGATGCTTTTAGTTTTGATTCTCCAGTCAAGATGTAATGCAAAATAGCTTGGTAGCAGTACAAAGTTACAAAGTTACAGCTAGGTAGGAAGAATAAATTCAGGTGCTCTAGAGTGACAAGAGCTAATAATATTTTGTTGTATATCTCAAGATAGCCAGAAAAAAGGATCATAAATGCTATAACCACCAAGAAATGATAAATGGTTAGGTGATAGATACACTAACTATTCTAATTAGATGATTATACAATATATGCATGTATTGAAACAACAGACTGTACACCATAAACATGTGCAATGAAAAAAAAATTTTTTAAGAGACATAATGCAATGTAACATGTTTTCTCATAGTGTAATTTTAAAAAATTATCAAATTAGTAATTGGCAAAGAGACACATTGAAGCCATGCAAATACTTTGCAGCTCAAAAAACTTCCATGCCCTAGATTTAGCATCCATTGATATTTTTTATGTTACTTGCTCAATCCAGTCTTTACTCCTCTGGAGGCAAAATGGTTATTATTCCAACTCTCTATATTCAACTGGCTATTTTTTTGACTGGTAAGGGGATCGTAACCCTCAGAACGGTGTTGTCCGCACCACACTTAACCAGTGAGCGCACCGGCCATCCCTATATAGGATCCGAACCCTCGGTCTCAGTGCTACCAGCGCCGCACTCTCCCAAGTGATCCACAGGGCTGGTCCTTCAACTGGCTTTTTGACAAAGGAAGAGCTCTTAGTTCTTTCCCATTCACCTACTGTAAATACATATGTACTTAACATATGTATGAATTCATTCATCCGTGTATTTATTATCAGTATGGACTCATGGGTTTCTATTTTTTCAATGGTTTATAATATATTATGGTCCTTATTTATTTTGATATTCAAATTGTCTCAGATTTGGTAAGTGGGAACTCCTTGTCAGTGGTTTCTGTGTTCTTTTGACTGTCATTTTCTCAGCACTTTTACGTTCTGACATGAGAAGATGATCTAAGCTCCTTTTGAATCTGCAGCCTCAGCCCTGGAATCAGCCACTTCTTCAAGGAGCTGGGATTTCTCTGTAGTCAAGAGATGGCTTGTGGTTAGGGCCAGGGTGGCTCTTTGCTACTGGAGTATCTTGCTTTTAGGCGCTTTTAGTGACAGAGCTAAGAAATAGATGCACACAAGCACACATGTACACACGCACAGACACACTTGAACACACATATGCTCACATATAGTGGTCATGAGTTCAGACTCATTCCTTTCCTGTCAAAAGTGTTAATTCCTCTACTTACCTCTCCTGTACTCCGTAAATATCCTCTGCTCCATTAGCAGTCTGGTGCCCAAAGACTAGCACAGTGTCTGCCATTCAATTGCTGCTCAAAATTTTAAAAAATAAATCAACAAGTGATTTGATGCTGTGACTTGATCCTCCATAGAAGAGAGATTAGAAATAAAGTTAAAAATGAAAATCTTGCCCCTTCCTTCCTCTTTTTCTGCTGTAAACTTATTGTTAAATATACTCATATGCGATAATCAGAGGTAGTCATATATCAGAATTTGAATAACAATATGTCTTCTATTTTGTTATACCTTTCATTCATCTAAAACCAAATACATTTGTCTAATAGTTTTCTGAAAGTAATTTTCTGAGGTTTTTATTTTTTATTCTTTTAAACTTCCTAGGTGGCTGGGATTGTTGGCAGAGCCGACGTGTTAGCATGTCTGCTGTTTCTGTTGGCCTTTCTCTCCTACAATAGGTATGTAATGCCTAAGAGTGCCCTGATCTGTGATTACAACCATGTCATGGGTGTAGACTGTGAGCTTCTGCGTGAGAGAGGTGGAAGCTTCTGAGCTGTGAAATGCTCAGCGAGCTTCCCAGGGACCGGGGGTTGGAAACCTTCTCCTTACCCAATGCTGGGCTGCTCTCTGTTCCAGCTCCATTCTGAACCATATGATACCATTTTAAAGAGACTGCTTTTCCAGTGCTGGGGACCCAGGCTCTTGCTTCTTAGTTCCTGTTACTTGTAGTTTCTGACTGAGAATGGAATTTGAAATCTTAGCTCTGAGCCAAAATATACTGGGTGCAATGCTCTCTTCTATTTGCCTAGGATTTGTTTGTTTAATTTCTCCTTTTCATTTTGGTCCTAATATTTTTCCTCTTTGCTATCTTCGTGAAAGTAACTCAGAGCTTAAAATAATAGGGCAAAATAGAAAGTAGTATTTTTCAACTGTAGTTTTCCTTCATCACAATACAGAAGTTCTTTGCTTTGGGAAACTGAAAAGCAATAAAGTAATTTCCCATTATGTTGCATCTTTACTCCCAAAGTGATCAGATTCTCACCTGAGTTGTGAGATATCCACAGAGGGAAAGGGGCAGGTGGGTTAAAATAGAATGTGAATGGTGGCTGAGGGCTCAGAGCATGACCCGGAAAAAGGGGGCTGGTTAACATGTTGGCCTATTTTGTGGAGAGATACCTGGTTAAAGATTTGTGAACCTTGGTCTTTGGATCAGTGCACGGACCCATAATCTTACAAAGCCCTGTGACTATTTGAGGAACACTATTCTAAAGCAGTGGTTCTTAATGAGGAGCTACTTCGCTCCCTACCCTAACCACTACTACCACCACCCCTCTTCCTCCAGGAGATTTTTGGCAGTGTCTGGAAATGTTTTTGTCACCACTGAAGAGGTGCTACTGGCATCTACTGGGTGGAGGCCAAGGTTGCTGCTAAATAAACATCCTAAAAGGCAAGAGCAGCCCCTACAACAACAAATTATCTGGCAGAAAAATACCACTAGTGTTGAGATTGAGAAACCTTGTTATAAACCAATTTAGACCTTGAATCAAGAATGTAATGAGTTAAGTATTACAAAGTTTTGTTTTGTTTTAAAGGGCAAAGCCATTTCTTAGTGTATATCAGTCTTCCGATCCCGGCTTTGTGGCCCCTGCCTCATTAATCATATGAAATGGAGTTGTGAATTAAAATATAGCCCCAATTTAACAATTAATTGTTTCCTGTTTGCTCTAGTGTTAGAACAGAATTAATAATTGCTCTTCAGTTTAAGCTTGTTCTCTGAGGCTTTTTCTGTGTGGTTGAACATGATTAGGCCTGCAGCATATCTGCATCTGTATGCTAAGGAGTGATATTATTACAGGTTGGTTGTGCATGCCATTCTCACTTTTAGATATGTAAGCTATAGAACAACTTCACAGAAAAGTGCATATCTACAGCAAATTTTGCATATAATTTTATGCGATTGTTCTAAGACATAATAATAAGGAGGAGACATCACAACTACACAAATACTGGCCTTCACTTCAAAAAGTGGAAGCCATGGCTGTGACACCTTCTGAAGGGAACAGTGATGTTTCTCGGTATGAGGCCAATTCAGTTTTGTAAGGTAAAAGAAAGACTACAGCACTGGAGTTTTTGAAAATCCCTGTTGGAAATAAAACTGAGAAAAAATGAACTTACTCATGCTCATGGAAAATAAATTTAAAAACATAGATTAGCCAAAAGAAAAGAAAAATGTCAAAATATTTATCACAGACATAAATGCTCTTTATATTTTGGTTTATGTATCCGCTGACTTCTTTGTTTTGTGTACAGAGGTATATAAAAACACTTCACTAAATCATAATGATGATGATAAACACTTGATATTTAATAAGTCATTTATTTAATCCTCTTTACGACACTAATCCCATTTCACACAGAAGAAGCACAGAGAGGCAAAGTCACTTGCCCCATATTACCCTCTTCGTTAACTTCAGAGCTGTGACTTGAACCCAGAGAATCTGGCTCCAGGCTCATGTATATTGTTTAGTAACCTGTATTATTCACTTAAAATGTATTCACTTAAACATCTTTTCGTGTCAGTAAATAGATCTATGGTAGCATTTTAAATGCATACCATATTTTATCATAATTTGTATATACTGTACCACAGTTCAAGTACGAAATTTAGCATTTTGGGGCATTTACTTTTTCTATTTTAGTAATTTTAAGTAATTCTATGATGTATACTCTTGAAGCTCAATCTTGTTCATGTACTGAATAATTAGGTTAGAAGAGAGTTAAGTTGCTAATAGATCTTCTATTTACAACGTGTTATTTCTCAGTGGCCCACATCTTTTTTTAGATTAGAAGTAGCTCCCACTTGTTTTTCAGGAGTCTGGATCAGTGCTGTGTTGGGGAGTGTTTCCCTCCCACGGCTTCTCCCTTCTTCCTGCTGCTCAGTTTGTTTCTGGGGACCTGCGCGATGCTGGTGAAGGAGACGGGCATCACAGTGTTTGGAGTGTGCTTGGTTTATGACCTCTTTTCCCTCTCCCACAAGCAGGATAAAGCGTAAGTCATTTACAGTTTTTATATCAAGAATTGTGTGGGCAGGGAATTACTCAAATTACATTTTCTTAAATGTAATCTCACTTTAGACCGTAATGTAATAAGCACGGCTTATTTCATTAAGATAAATGCATTATATATGTTCAAACTCTTTACACTTTTTAAAAATTCAATGAGGACTGTAAAGTTTTTGTGAGCCCAGAATTTGGAATTGAAAGTTATCTGTGTCAATTCCAAGTTGATATTGCTGGTTTGTTTGGGTTGCATACTACTGAGAAAATCTTGATTCACACAGAGAAGTGGTTGCAAACTGTTTAACAGTTTTTAACAGCTTTCTTTGACTCCATGCATTCAAATGAGTGTTATCCATCAAAGAGCGCTGGAGCCTGTTTGCTTGCTCTAGTAATGATGCTGTTGCCGGAGAGTTTAGGAGGTGTCTATTGGAACTCCACAAAGAGCCAGTCTAAACCATACAGGAATACTTTCACGTCATATTCAATTAAAGAACAAGCTTATTTAGTAGTCCATTTTCATTTTTAAAAATTAGGGTACATTCGTTTGATTCTGTGGATTATGGATGATAAGGATAATTAAGGCATATTAAAAGTTCAAGCACATACTATTGAATACTTTCAATTCATATTCAATTAAAGAACAAGCTTATTTAGTAGTCCATTTTCATTTTTAAAAATTAGGGTACATTCGTTTTATTCTGTGGATTATGGATGATAAGGATAATTAAGGCATATTAAAAGTTCAAGCACATACTATAATTTTCTTCTTCTATCAAATCTATAATTACTAACAATTTTACATGGAGACCCCATTTTTTGGTCATTATAAGGCCCTTACTTTGAACTTTTTAAACATGTGATTGATTTATTATACTACCTTGTCAGATGATGAATTTTATCTTTTTAAAAAAAATTCCTGCCTTTTCATCCCATTTCCTACCTCTTTATACTTCTTGATATAAAGATAAGAGGAGTGCTATGGAGTGGCAACTAACTGAGATGAATCATGAGATTCTGATCACCCTCCTGCCTGGGAATGTGATACTTGGAAGTAATTTAAATAGAGTTCAGTGCTCTGTTGCTCTCTGGAAATCTCAGAGGTGGTAAAAGCAGGAGCCCAGTTATCACTTTGACTCACGCTCATGCCAGGAGACCTCCCCTTGGCTTATGTGAGGATGCCTTTCTCTGTGTCCTTGCAACAGATGGGAGTAATTACATTGCCTGCTTTCCTTTTTAGAGAACAACCTATAAACCCCTCTTGCTTCCCACTTTCCTCTTGCATCCACCTTGTCTCTACCTGCTAACTTTTCCCTGCCTTGCCTCACTGCCAGCAGATAGATATGACAAATGACTGCAGCTGTGTTCTCTCCTGTGGGCCGGTCCAGAGCTATTTTGATGTCACCATTGAAGTCACATCTCCTCTGTCCTTGAGACTCTCCAGCCCATTGTTGCCTACACTCCTTTCTCCCCTCTTCATCTAGTCGATGTTGATCCAGGCTTTTTTCAAAGCTAATAATTCTCTTTTCTTCCTTTAATAGTCTTTCTTTACCTTCATACTAAACTGCTAGAAGTTCTATGGAAGGGATAATACTGCTGATCTGTAGCTTGGAAGTCACACAGCTCAGAGTCTGGGTTATTTTTTATTTATTTATTTTTTTTAGAAACTTTTAGTCCTCACACCCAGCAGCTCCATAAGTGGAGCCAGTCATTCCTGTTTTCATCCTTTTATCCGCTCATTCAACACATATTCATTCAGTGCCTGGCCAAGAACAAGACAGATAAGGTTCCTTCCCCAGAGAGCATATCGGATATTGGGGGAGACAGATATTACATAAATAATTACGTGAGTAATTGATTCCAGTTGTGAAAAGTGGTAGAAAGGAACCCAGAGCATGTAACAGTGAGACCCTGGGCAAACACGGTTAATATCTGTTCAGTGCTGGCCATGTGCTAGGTGCTTTGCCATGCCGCTTGCTCACAACAGCCGTTCTCTTCATTTTACAGAGGAGAAAACACAGAGGCACAGAAAGTAACCTCCCCACAGTCACCCATCCCCAGTGGAGCCAGGATTTGGACCCATGTCTGTGTGGCTCTGGAACCACAGGCTTACCCCTGAGTACACTGCCACCATGGAAGGATCTCGGGACAGGGAGGCAGAGGAGACAGTTATACCAACCAGCTCAGGGGTTCTGAGTGTTTGAGGGGTCATGGACCCCTTTGAGAATTTCACAAAGTTGTGTCCCCAGAATAATGCACACACACACACGCACAGGTTTGCACAAACTCTTAAGGATCTGTCTACCTCCCACTCCCCACTTTATCTGCTAATTTAGAATTACTGTTTTAGCACTAGGTGGTCCTTGAGATCTTTCAGTGTATAATTCAGGCAGCAGGAAAGAAACAGTAATAGAAACAAATATTGGAAACACTTCCCTACAAGAAAAGCAATTTATTCCTAAATTTTAAGATTGGGCCACATGAATGGAGTGGGATTTCTTTTATTCAACATCACCTTTGGGAGGAAACGTTTTCAGTGAAAGATCAGCTCCTGAAAGCTAACTTTCTTTTTTTTTTAATTAGCATATAATTTTCAACATGTAGAAAGTAACATACCCTGACCCCAGTCCCTACCCTCTCTCTCTAGAGGTAACCATAATTCTGAATTTGGCACTTTTCATTTCTATGGTTTTTTTCCTAGGGCATTACTTCGTATGTATATACCAGTGAATATCAAATAGCATTATTTTACATATTTTCAAACTTTACATGAATGATATTACTTGCTGTTTTAAAAAATTTAACATTGGGCTTTTGAGATAAGTCAGTGTTGATACATGTAGCTACATTTCATTTGTTTTAACTGCTGCATAGTATTTAATTATCATAATTTATCCATTCTTCTAATTTAGAATTTAAGTTATTTCCACATTTTTGCTGTTATAAACTACACTGCAGTGAAATTTTTGTGCATATGTTCTTGTGCAAATACATGAAGGTTTCTCTTGGGCATAAGCATAGAAGCGGAGCTGTGGGGACGGAGGGTAGACTCGTGTTGACTGTGTTACTTCCTGAGACATTGCATTTGTAGCAGTGAATGAGAATCTCCTTTGTTTCACATTCTGCCGTCACTTGGTAGTATCAGACTTTTTAATTTACAGCCATCTAGTGGTTATGAATTATATCTTAAAGGATTTGCGACAGAAAAATCTAATCAGAGTACGTTGGACGGCTCAGCTATGAACAATATTTTGCAAAATCATACTAATGTAAATCCTGGATACCACTTCAGCCAAATATTTGGAGGATGAGGGGTAAAGAAGAGAGAGAGAAAGAGAGAGAGAGAGAGAGAGAGAGAGAGAGAGTGTGTGTGTGTGTGTGTGTGTGTGTATGAGAGAAATGTATTTGGAGGATGAGGGGTAAAGAAGAGAGAGAGAAAGAGAGAGAGAGAGTGTGTGTGTGTGTGTGTGTGTGTGTGTGTTGGTGACCACTTAAGAGAGACTGAGTCTATCTTCTACAGTAGGAAGTCAATACAATAAGCTCTAACATTGAAAGAAACAAATAGTAATCTAGTTATGTTATGTGATTTTAAACATATGGCGGTAAATATCAGAAACAGAAGGGCTCAAGCCTTGAGAATACTTGCTTCCTGGCAGGAGGCCTTGCAGGTGGGGCGGGTACTGCTCTTCTTGTTGCAAGTCTTGTCTTTCTCTTTGACTTTGTTTTCCCTCAATTCCATGTGCAATCAGGAGCAACGGGGCCCTCCATCCGCACAGCGCACAGCAGCCCACGAGCCCCCATCGGGAGAACGGGAAGCAGCAGCGGTTTTCTCACAGAGGAGCTTGGGGTGGCTGCCACTCCCCACTGCCACAAGAACCCAAGAGCAGTGGATTCCCGATGTCCCCGCGAGCTGTGAGGTCCCTGATGAGGTACTGGGCTGGGGTTCTTGGTTCGTGTGCCTGTGCGCTGTCCACCATCACTTGGTGCAGCCCGCGATGCCTGGAGACGTGACGTGCAGGGTCAGCTCCTTGCTCACTCCCTCTCTCCTTGTTCTCTCCCTTCCTTCCCTATATGAGATTAGTTAAGAAAGGAGTATCTAGAGGAAGCAAGTGGAAGCCCTGCTGTCTGCCCTTATTTGCAAGCAAGGTGATGAGCTGCGGGTCTGCAAAGCCTCAGGCATCAGAAGACAGGCGCCCTCCACTTTCTAGGGGAGGAGAGCACTCAACCCCCATCCCACCCTTCTCTCCCTGCTCTTTGTGTTTGATCTGAACTTATTACAGCACAAGTATGAGAGGAAACCCAAGGAACTCTTTCTCCCAGAAATGTTTTTGAGGTTGCAGGAAAATCTGTAGTACATCGTGGGATCTTTCTTTCTTTCTTTTTTTTAAAAAATATTTCGACCTAGCCATGAAAATTAACTTAGACTCGTCAGCACAGGTATGCTTACTAAATTAGGTTGCCTCTAAAATAGCTCAAGCTATGGGCAAGTCAAAATTTAGCAAATATGTGTTAAATGATGAACTTAGGCATATTAAAATTTGAAAGAGCATTTTGAGCAGACAGTGATTAATGAATCATCAGGCAGCTCCAGACCGCAGGTGGTCTGGGGCTCCACCAGGGGAAGGCATTTATAGTGTGAATGGAGCAGCAGAGCAAAGACAATATTTGATTGGTTGAAGTGGAGCAGTAGTAGCCTTATTTGGATCAGTCCTATGGGAAGTCCCTGGTTACAGGTTAGTTGGTGGCTTCTGACTGGTAAAGCATGAATTTCATTTTACGATTTATACTAAAGTGGGGTTTGGTTTGTTGGAGGGTGTTGGAGCTACATCAGCCTCATGGCCTCCCCAAATCATTTTAACATATGGAAATTCTACTCATAGTATTAGCACTTTACCACTTCAGATTTGCTATTCTTATTTTTCTGTGTAGTTCCTTATTTTTTGTGTGTGTGTGTCTGTGTGCACGTGTGTCATCTCTTAAAAATCCCTCTTTTCAAGGTCTTTGTTTCTATTTATTCTCACCTTTGCCTGTTTTTCTGGATCTAGCCCCATTGATTGATTGATTGATTGATTCATCAGTAACCATCTATTGAATGTCTGACATGTGCCAGGCATGTTCTAGGCACCAGGAATGTCCTGGTAGATAAGGAAGACAAGGTCCTTGCTCTCGTGGAGCTTTCCTTCTAGCAGAGGAAGACAAACAGTAAATAATCAACAATGAATGAACAATGTAAGTGCTAAGAAGAGAGTAAAGCAGGATGTGATGGAGTGATGGGTTAGCTTGGGGGGATCCATATGGTTTGGTCAGGGAAGGTGTCCTGACTGAGAGGAGGAGCCAGCCCCTGAAGATCTTAGAGGTTAAAAAAAATCTTACCCAAGTTCACATAGTAAGTGGTGGGGTCAGGATTAGAACCTAGACTATTTGACTCCTAAACCTGTGCTTTGCCCATTTACTGTGTTGTAAAATCCAGAGTCCTGGGTGAGGACTTGGCTTTAGGAAGGGGGCAGGACAGTTGTATCATTCTGTGTGGAGCTGGCCTCCCTATTGAACTCCCAGGGGGTAGAAAGATTCTTGTGCTTCAATACAGAGTGGTTAGTTAGATGACATGCTTTTGTAGGTTACCTTTTGTTTTTTTAATTCCAAACACAGACTGTTTTAGAAAGAGTGATAATTGGAGAGCATTGGACAGCACAGCTGGAACTGGGTCAGCTTCTTACTAAGTTAATGTGTTTGTGGGCAAGGACTGTTTTCCCTCCTTGGAAAGGAACATTGTTGTATATTTCCTGTCTTTGGAAAAGAAGGTATTATATATTGGAGCACAAATTTGATTAATATTAAAATTATTCTTGAAAACTATGCCATGTAGGCTTGTCATAAGGCAACTGGGTAAAGCAAATAAAAATTGAAAGAGGCAATGTTATCTTAGTTCTTAAGATCTCTTTTTTTTTTTTGTCTTTTTTCGTGACCGGCAACAGATCGCAACCCTCAGTGTCACGCCCGTACCGGACCGGGACCGGCAACAGGATCGCAACCCTTGGTGTTGCGCCCGCACCTCGCTCAGCCAGTGAGCGGCCGGTCTGTATGTGGGATCCGAACCCTCGGTGGGAGCACCGCCGCGCTCCCAAGCAGTGCACTGTAGCAGTGCGCCACCGGGCTGGCCCCTTAGTTCTTAAGATCTCTGACTCTGCAGACACAGTGTTTAAATCATGGGTCCATCACTTACTTGATCCTGGACAACTTATTTTACCTCTTTGAGCCTCAGTTTTCTCATCTCTAAAAGGGGGAAATAATAGTAGCCCATAGCTTGCAGATTGGTTGTCAGGGCTAAAAGCAGTAGTGCATAGAATAGGCATGGAATCGGTGCCTGGCGCACAGCAGCCACCCGGCACAGGGTAGCCAGCAGCATCATCACTGTTAGTGCAGCATTGTGAATGTCATTCCTGTCTGGGTTTCTGAGTACCAGGATGCACTGTGAAAATGGTGAAACTCCACTATGCAGGCAGGGAGTGAGTTAGTGTGGGTTTTTATTTTTTTTATTTTTTGGTTCAACTTTGAGACTTTGTTAGCATGTATTGTGTGCATTGGTATGAGGCTGACAAAAAAATTTGGACATACACTATCAGGTACATCAAATTCATTCACATTAGAAAGCTCAGTGAATTCTAAATGAAATCTTATCTTCATTCTAAATATATGAGGGTACTTCAAAAAGTTTGTGGAAAAATAGAATTAAAGGATGATACGAATCTTTCCATGAACTGCTTGAAGTACCCTCGCATATACATACATACATATATAAACACACACATATATATACATATATGTATTTATGGTCATTCTCATATATACTTGATTGCTTTCATATTTAAATGATAGTAACTTGAAGGCAGTTCTTGGCTCAATAAATTCTTGGATTTTCCTCTTTTCTACTCTGCAGGATCTATTATGGATCATTCATTCATTTAACAATATTTACTGAGCAGCTACTGTGTGCCGGGCACTCCTTTTGATGCTGGGAATATGGCAGTGAAATAAAAAATCCCTGCCCTTATGGAATTTAGCTGGATGATGATCATGATATTTTTACTTAAAATGAGCTCAGTTTCTAGTTTCGTGGGTGAGACAGTGGTTAGATTTTCATTTCAGTGGATCTTAAAAGTTTCTCCTGTAGGGCCGAGCCTGTGGCGCACTCGGGAGAGTGCGGCGCTGGGAGCGCAGAAGCGCTCCCGCTGCGGGTTCGGATCCTATATAGGGATGGCCGGTGCGCTCACTGGCTGAGCGCTGTGCGGCAGGTCTCAAAAAGGACAAAAAAAAAGTTTCTCCTGTAAATACCTCGCATATAGGCATGCAAATCAAGAAATTAAGACAGGTTTAGGACTAGAGAACGGTTTGGCTCTAAAGTGAAACTGTAAGGTAATTAAATTCAGGGGACTTGGGCCATATCAGTATTTTGACCTTCACTGATTAAATGGGTAACTGATCTTTTAAGTATCATTTTAATGCTTTATTTCTGTAGACCTTCCATTGCACTCTTTCCCCTCAAAGTAAGAAATGCTGTGCAAATTAATCCTGAGGTAGGATTTTTAACTTTTATGCTACACATATAATCCTATGAATAGGGCAGATGTGTTTCAGATCATTATTAACAGCTTCGTACCAGCTTTGAGAGAAACCTAGTGAGCTAGTGAAGTGAGATTTGCAGGTGACAGAAAAAACCTGTGTTGAAATCCTGTATTATTGATGGATAATAACTGGGTTCTCTTTTCCTACCTCCCATCTTTATATACCTTTCCCATTGACTGATCTCAAATGAGCCATTTTCAGTCTCATTCAGCAGCTGCTTTCAAAGACGAAATGACTGAATGAAAGGGATGTGGAATTAACTAATGGGTCTACACAGAAAATACATCCAACAGTTAAAAGCAAAGTTTGTGGGTTCATATTTATTTAGTAAATTTCCCATCTCCCACTTTAAAATCTCTTAATGAAAATGTAAACCTCAATGATGAACGTGTGTTAAGAACACAAACCACCTCATGAACGTAGATATTAACCAATATCTTATTTTAAAGAGACTCTGCATATTCTTTAATAGGCTGCTGATAGTTTTGTCCTCACTTCCTTTGCTTTGTTTAAAGATGAGCTGGGCCACATTTTGCTCTGGAATTATCTCTCTTTGATGGTATAAATACTTCAGTCTCTAGATGTAGTTTTTAGATGGCTGCATCCGGATCACTGTGACTTATTTGGAAGAGGTAGGAGCATGATGTTGGTGGACCAAAGAAAGCAAAAACTTTCAGGCTGAATTATATAATGATATTGACCAAACTAACTAGCATAATGAAAGTAATTTATTATCAAAGAACTTTATAACTGTTTATACTCAGGGTCCTTTCATTTGGACACAGCATCCAAATGATATCATTTCCTGATTTTTGTCCCATAAGCACCCTGAGCTTTTTCATAGTTTTTCAATTTCTTTTAAATATAGTGAATTGATCATAGCTTTTGCTAGATTATTTCCTACCATTTCTATTAAAGATCTTTATTTTGTACCTGTTGGTGTTACTGGGCAGCGGGCATGCTTAGTAAATGTTAAGGCACTGGAGAGACACGTGGGTGATTACTGCAGGCAGTTATCCTCCTATGGAGAAGGAAATAGTTTACTGGGAAGGGTGAACAAAAATGGTGGTATTTTTCTATAGGGGTGATAGAAATGGAAAATTTATTTTCAAAAATAAAAAATTACGTAAAAATATTATTTTCAAAAATAAACTGTATTAGTATTATGAAGCTTCTTAATTATGAACTGTATTTATTGGGATAGTGTCATTAGTGTGTGCCATTAATGTTCTTTGGTGGGTTGGTTTACCTAAGCTGGTTTTACAAGTTCTTTTAAAATAGCTTTTCTTAAATATGGAACCT